CGGATTTTTTAGCACCTTTTCTCGAAGTGGGCGCCTTCTTGGCCACCAACCCCAGGTTCGCGAACTGGGACTTCATCAACGAGGCAACGGAGGTGAAGTCCGCCCCTGCACAAACAAAAACAAAGGAAAACCGGTAAGCAAGAGCATGAATCGGGCGGGAAGAAGAATAGGCGCATGAAATATAATAGCCCACCGTCGCGGTAATACTCATGCAAGACAGGCGTCTGGGCTTCGGTAGACTTAAGACAAACAGGATGCAAAGAAAGAAGCCGGGCGCCTTCCTTCTCCGCGTCCGTCAAGGTTACCTCGATATTAAAAGCCTCGTGGTCACCAAACACCCATCCCCTTGTGAAAGGGGCGCCACTTTCGTAAAACGATTCTTTACGAGGTTTCATGAAGAAGAAGCCCCTAAACCACTCTCTACCTAGCTTAGGCGCCTCTAATAAGAAGTGGTCGGGGATATCTAGGCGCCTCTGAAGCGAGAGACAGTTATTGCTATACTGCATCTTAAAGAAGTGATGGAAAAGATTGAACGTGGGCTCGACGTTATGTTGCCGACATTTCAACCTAAACAGAATATGGATAAGAAAGACCGAAGGCGATAGGCGCCCAATGGAGCATTGGCATGTCGACAAAATTCCTTCAAGAATCGCGTCTAAGGGAAAGCGGAGCCCAAATCGGAAATATTCGCGATAAATACCAAGCCAACGGGGACCAATAACACCAATGCGAGCCACGCGGGACGCAGGCGCAAAAGCCCAGGTAAGGGGAAGTTGTAGAGAGACGGCCAAGTTTTCTAGTTCAAGCGCCTTTACGGTGGAAACCTGATCGGGACCAGCTTCGACCACGGTCAAATGGCTGGTCTCGGTAGGCGCCTGACCAGAGGGAAAGGTATCCACCCATCTCCTCATCTTCACCGATCCGTCCGAGGGGGCGCCTGAATCAGCTGACATCGGAGACATCGCTAATTCAACCAAAGGAGGAGATGCGGGCGCCACGCCTAAAAGGTTCGAGGGAAACGGCCACATCAATCCTACATTCTTAGGGTTGGGGCGCCTAAAAAAAAAAAAAAAAAAAAACTTACGCGGATCAGGGTTTGCGGGCGCTGCCGAATCAGGCGCACCGCTGGTCGCCGGTGCCTGTGCGCTAGGGGGCTCCTCCACCACGACGGTATTCTCCTTAGCGGCGGATCCTTCAGGGGCGTCGACCGTAGTGGTCGTGGACACGTCCTCAGTAACGGGCGCCTGGCTCTTATTGCGAGGTGTCCAACCGCCGGCCTCGCGGAGGGGATCGGGAGAGAAGTGCTGCGCCAACACGGAGAGAACGTCGGGCGCCGTGCCGGTGTCTTGCACAGCGTTAGGAGATGGGGCGCCTGAGCCATAACGGCGGGACATGTTTTGGCACTTATTTGTTGGTACAGCAAGCGCCCAGGCGTCTAGGTCTAGAGAGAGGAAGTTAGAGAGAGAGAGGTTTCGCAAAAATGAGAAGAGAGGACAGCGACCGGCGTATTTATATGAAGAGGAGCTCAACGGGCAGATCTGGGAATGCGCGCCCGGCCTTAGGATTAAATCCTCACCGTCCATTTCAAATTCAAAAAAAAAAAAAAACCTTTTCCCCAAATTTGAAATGCACGGTGAGGGGGGCGGAGTATAGATGGGCGCCTGCTTGTGGGAAAAGGTGGGGCGCTTGAAACAGAAGGTTAGTAAGCGCCTATTATGTAGAATTGATGGGAGAATGGGCATTTCAGAGCAGGTCGACAAAGGCTTTGGCAGGGGTAAAGGAAAGCGGTGGAAGGCGGAGAGGGAAATCGAAGAAATGGAAAGAAAGGGTTTACGAGTTCTCGGTGGTAGACGTGGGCAAATGTCAGTATGATTGTAGATACAGGGGGTCAAGAGGGTATGGAAGAAGCGCCCGTAGAGGTGTACACGGTGGGGGACACGGCTGCGAGGAGCGCGCAGGTATAGTGGTGGACACGGGGGGACAAGGACATGTAAGGGAAGCGCTTATAGAGTGGCGTGCGAAAGGAGACACAACAACAAGGCGTGTACAGGAAGTAGTATCGGCCCATTTATACATAGTTAGGCACTCATCGTTAGCTATGAGCACCTAACTGGGGGACAATTGTTGGGGAAGTAGAGAAAAGCCCAAGCCCATGAGGGGGGAAGGAGAAAATAGGCCCAAATGATAGACTAGGGCACTTAGCGGAGGACAGGCGCATGACGACAAAAGAGGAATACGGACAAGTGGTACGGAGGGAGGAGTTGGGAAAAGAGGCCACCTGGCGAAGTGGTCCCTGCTGGGCGCCCCCTATCGGGGTGTTCTCAGGCGGCCACGTACAGGCGCCTGACTCTTGTACGAACAGTGCATTAAATGAGGCGGTGACGTGGGTTCAAGTGCCAGGATGACCGTTGGGACTTCGGCGAGTATAAATAGTACTCGGTAGGTAGCATTTACGCAGGTTGGCTTCTCTCACTAAAATATTTCTCGGCACTTATCTCTCTAGAAAAGTGCACTGACTTGAGCTTCGGAGTGCTAACGGGTCGACCAAGGCCCTTAGGCGCTTGTGGGTGCAGGTTCCAGGCGCTCGTATTACAGAGAAGTGACGAGGCGGAGGATAAGCGCACGTGGGTATCTTGGCTCAAACAAATTGTATCATTTTGAACGTACAAAAAATCTCCTATCGTCTTCCATTTGCAACTGGAAGTGAGAATAAGATTAGCTAGCTAGGGTTTCCTGAACCACTCAAACTAATTTTAACTTTGGTGAAAAAATATGATTATTAGTCAAAGAAGATAACTACAATAGAGAAGAAAAGAGAGACAGGGAGCATATTAGGGAAAAGTTGCGATAAAGAGAACTGAAAAGAAAGCGATTAAGGAGAAAGATTAAGAAGATGATGGGACTGGTGGTAGCTCAAAGCAAATGGCCCCCTCAAATCCCACTAACTAAACCCATTCTTATCATTGGAAAACAATTCTCCTGATAAGAAAATAGCCGTTTTAGGTTCCATACATTAAGCAAAAGAAAACAAAAAATCTGGAGCCTGCTGTCAATTTTTGATTGGCTGTTGGTCGAACTAGTATAGGGTTGTCTATTTGGTGGTAAGAAATTAAAAGTGCTTTCATCGTACCCTCCTTAGTAGGGTTCGATTTTGTTTCTTTGATGTTTTCAGCTATGTGACTCTTTGTATCTGATTATTTCTCGTTAATACAAATGGTCTTCTTTGAGAAAAAAAGAAGAGTATGTAATAATGTATGTCTTGTTTAAGAATCGTTTTACGTTATAAGGGGAAAAAAAAGGAAAGAATGGCAACTCGTTGATCAAATCATGTGGTGGTGTTTTGCTTTTGTTGTTGTGAAGGCTAGTCCTCCACTCATCATCTTCCTTGTGTTAGTGTTAGTTTAACATGATTTGAAGAGGTTAAAACATCAAATTAATTCAAACATGAGACATTCAAGTTCAAGATCAGTAATAGTACCGCCAGATTAAGTATTTGGAGTCTCCCACACGTATTAAAATTAACACATGATGTTAGTAAATAGTATATGATCAGTAAGACAACGGAAGATTAGCTTGACGAAGCAACTAATACCAATCTCGACAATATGACGATGTTTACGTTCAGAAAGGTCATTATGCTCAGAGTGTACGGGGGAGTGAGGAGATGAGTGATGCCATAAGATGAAATATCGGATTTAAGTTTTTGAACCCCCCCCCCCCCCCCCCCCACTCAGTATAAAAACGACGAATAGAGGTTTGGAAATAGTTTTCGACCAGCTTCTTAAAGACAAGAAAGACGGACAAAACATCGAATTGAATTTAAGAGGGTAGAACCAAATATAACGAGTAAAGTGATCGATAATAACTAGATAATAAGAGTAGCCATCTTCATAACAAACAGGGGCAGGACCCCAAACATCTGAAAACAAAAGATCAACCAGACGACTACTAGACAGACTAGAATATCCAAAAGGGACTTTATGACTCTTATTCGACAAACACGAGTTACAATGAGAAACCGAACGACTCGTATGAGGAAGAGAATGAACTAGAAGAAGCCGCAACAGAGACTTGGAGGATGGATGACCTGAACGACGATGCCAAGAATCATGAGAGTGACGAGTGGTGACTAGGGCGACGCGCATAGCTCCAGAACCATCAGGAATTTCGTAGATGTCACCTTTGTTAGGATCAACTCGTTTTTGACACATGACACACTAAGTATTTCAAAGAGGGACTCAATCCTTTATCCATAATGACAAGGTGACTCTGCAAGCATCTTGATTTGCAGATAGAAAAGAATTTGTACTAGTAATGCCATGAATCACATTCAAACACCTACTGACTTGTTATATCATTATCAACTATGATGTTTTCTTTCTTCAAGGAATTAATTGCCTAATTGAACAAAAGTTAAAATTCACAATTAACTGGAATGTATAAGGTAATTAATTCAATATGGAAGATTTTTATACCATATTTCGTGAGGAGAAAAATTGTCAAGGTGATCAATAAAAAAACACAATTTCCATAATTGATCAAATTAAATCAAGCATAAAGCAAAGAGAGACAATAATGGGGAAGGAAGCTCAGTAACACTTCCTCTCACTCGTGTGTGTGCGCGTGTCTCTCTCTCCTCTGTCTCTGCATCAAATCTTGAACAGAAGGAAGAAGAAGAAATTCGCAGTATATATATCCAGAGAAGAGAAACCCCAAAGGGAAAAGACAAAGCAACTTCACAAGATTCTTCTTTTCATCAAACGCTAATCCAGTTCAGCCTACAGCCCACCAAAAAGAGGAAGCCAAGCCACTGAGTGAAGCGAGTTTCTCTCTGCCAAAGCTGCAGAGCTCGAATTCAAGAAGAAAAGAAAACAGAGCACCCATCAAACTCTGTTTGTTCCTTTCCAACCCCTGTTCTTCCTCTTTCCCCAGGAGCTTCCCTTTTTGGTTCAGAGATATTTCTCTAGAATCACTCAATTTTCGTCTTAAAAGGGCGGGAAATAGAAGAGTCTCCCCTGTTTTTGGATTTTTAAGCCGGTGGTTGGTGACTGGTGAGTGAACAATTAAATGGCATTAGTGACAATCTCGTCACTCCGAAAGATTTTCCCTTTTATCCCCATCTGATTTTTTTATCAGGAAACAAACGTCGAGAGAATATTTGTTGCTTTGCTCCAGGGTTTTGATTTACAGTCAAAGAGCGAGCAGAAGCAAAGAGAAACGAGAAAGAGCATGGACGGAAAAAGGCAGCTAAATTCTTGAAGCGGGGTGGGCAAAGCTTATTTGCTGGAGAGTCTCACATTTGTCAAACAGTGGAATAAAAAAAAAAAAAACAGAGTGCTCTGCCATCACTGGATATAAATCCCCTTCAACACTTCACCAACTCACCGTATCTCAGATCTACAGAATCAGGGTAAAATCGAGACATTAAAAATGTTGTCAGAGAAGCAAGCCGAAGAAGCCATAGTCTCCAGCTTCGACGAAACCGTCCCTGTTTCTTCTCCTTCCGCCGGCGACCACCTGGACGGGAAAGAACCAGAGCACGATGATGACGGCGGCGACCTTCATCATCAATCCGAGTTTAGCCTCAAGAGCATTTTCTGGCACGGTGGCTCTGTCTATGATGCCTGGTTCAGCTGTGCTTCCAATCAGGTCCCTTCCCACTTCTAAAGTTCACATCTTTTCTCCTTCTTCTTCTTCCTGGGTTCTGAATTCCCATTTTCAACTTGTTAATCATCAGGTTGCGCAAGTGCTGTTGACTCTGCCATACTCCTTCTCCCAAATGGGGATGCTCTCAGGGATAATACTGCAGCTCTTATACGGATTCATGGGCAGTTGGACTGCTTATCTGATCAGTGTTCTGTATGTTGAGTACCGAACCAGAAAAGAGAAAGAGAATGTCAGCTTCAAGAACCATGTCATCCAGGTCAATTCCCCTTTCGCCCACAACCTTTTCTTAAAGTGAACAATTGAAGCGCAATCAGACATAGTGATTTTCGGCTTGTAAATTGCAACAGTGGTTCGAGGTGCTGGATGGGTTGCTGGGTCCGACTTGGAAAGCAGTTGGCTTGGCATTCAACTGCACTTTCCTCCTCTTTGGCTCTGTCATTCAGCTTATTGCCTGTGCAAGGTCAGATTTTTGTTCATAATTGCGATGACTATTATAATTATGACGTTTACCCTCGTTTTGTTTTACCCAATTCTATAATGGGCTCGACTCAAATCTTTGTTTTCTTTAGATAATTTAATAAACTCATGCTGTGATTTTCGTTACATTACAGCAATATATACTACATCAACGACAAGTTCGATAAGAGGACGTGGACTTACATATTTGGAGCCTGCTGCGCCACCACCGTCTTCATCCCTTCCTTCCACAACTACAGAATTTGGTCCTTCCTTGGCCTTGGAATGACCACTTACACCGCCTGGTACTTAACCGCAGCAGCCCTAGTTCATGGCCAGGTAAAAAAAATCAGAATTTACTGTTCACTACAATTGTGTATTAAGTAAGTATTAACCTTTTGCATATCCTGACTCAAAACATTCTGTTACGTGAGACAGGATCCTGGCGTGGTTCACTCTGGACCCAAGAAGCTGGATCTGTACTTCACAGGCGCCACCAACATATTGTACACATTTGGTGGTCATGCTGTTACTGTGTAAGTACTAACTAACATTACTCCGAAATGTCGAAACGAGATCGTAATTCGGTCGAATGTGGTGTACTTATCAAGTCGTCGCGCGTCGCGCAAACTTATTCGAAATAACCTTCCGTGCAGGGAAATAATGCACGCGATGTGGAAGCCGCAGAAATTCAAGTACATATACCTGCTCGCGACGCTCTACGTGTTCACCCTGACCCTGCCATCGGCAGCAGCCATGTACTGGGCGTTCGGAGACGAATTACTCACCCATTCCAACGCCTTCTCCCTCCTCCCTCGCACCGGCTGGCGCGACGGTGCGGTCATCCTGATGCTCATTCATCAGGTTTAGATTAATGTTCCCTCCTACACTACACATTACAAGGACTCTTTTAAGTCTCGACCTTTGGGTTGACGATTTGGGCGGATTTTTTCCGGCTCGCAGTTCATAACGTTCGGGTTCGCCTGCACGCCGTTGTATTTCGTGTGGGAGAAAGTGGTGGGAATGCACGACACCGAGAGCGTGTTGAAGAGGGCACTCGTGAGATTGCCCGTGGTGGTGCCAATATGGTTCTTGGCCATCGTGTTCCCCTTCTTTGGGCCCATCAACTCCGCCGTGGGTGCTCTGCTCGTCAGCTTCACTGTCTACATCATCCCTGCCACGGCCCATATGCTCACCTATCGATCCGCCTCGGCCCGCCTGGTGAGTAAATGAATTTCTGTATTGGCACAAAATAAATGAATGGGCCCCATTCAAGCCCATTTCTCTTCTCTTGGCCATTGCTGTTGAAGATGGTGACAGGTTGATAACAGTGATAACAAGACTAGTTGTTAAGGCCATAATTTGGACTTATCTGTTTCCATAATCGATTAGGATTACGGTTTAGATGTGAATAGTGTTGATTGTATTACAGACAAAACAGAGGGATTAGAGGGCTGATTAATATTTGATAGAGAGATCAATGAATAACTAATCAGTTTTAACGAGGACAAGAAAAGTGAGTAGTTGGAACTTGGAACATCCTTTTTCAATTTTAGTTATCTTGGTAGGTTAGTTTTAGGTTCACTCTCATATTCTCTTCTCTTGCAAAATGACACACAGAAACCTCCCAACCCACACCTCACGTCATCACTAATGAGTTGACATGACATCCTAACCAATTCGTACCAATAATGCATCTACACGTATTTAACAACTAAGACCGCATGATCGGTAATCCGACGTTGTTAGAACGTATGTACGAACACTTAACCCATCAGCATGTTAAACGGATTCGTTACGGTTTACCTTGAATTGGTATAATTTTACGGTGGATTGTGGTTTACATTTTTTGGTGGGGTTTTGTGTGTGGAAAAAAAAAATCAATGTGCAGAATGCAGCAGAGAAGCCGCCGGTGTTTCTGAAGAGCTGGACGGCGATGTTCATAGTGAACGCATTCGTGGTGGTGTGGGTGTTCGTGGTTGGATTTGGGCTGGGAGGATGGGCCAGTGTCACCAATTTCGTCCGGCAAGTCGACACCTTTGGGCTGTTTGCCAAGTGCTATCAGTGCCCGCCGCCGGTTGCCGCCAAGCATCATTAAGCTGCGGCGGCCGCCGCCTCCATAGCATTTGTTAGTGGTTTTGGGTTTGAATATGTAGCAGGTTGATTGACTCTGCCTTTTCTCTGTATCACATATGTTACTGTTACAAGTTGTTTTTTATCTTTTTGTCTGTGTCTTAGACAACTTGCTGTTATATTCCTGAGAAAATGTGGCAGGGGGATGAGGTTTGTTATTTGTGAAAGTTTGAAAGAAAATCGCAGTATTGGGAAAAGGTCTTCCTCTATTCCTGATGTTCATGTCTAGGTATGCAAATTATAATACGTTTGTGTTTGTATGAAGTGGTAAATGGCTGGTTACATAATAAACACTATTATCATGGGAAAGGATGAAGATCTTGAGTGGAATGGATGTGGGAAAACCGAAGAGCAAAAGAACAAGGTCTCACTATATTTTATTTGTCACAAAAACCGTAAGGTAGTATATTTTGTGTTGAATATGATGTAGTTTTTCGCACCGTCTCACTCCTTTAACTGGATTTGTGATTTTTCCCTAAACCAAACTTCTCATTATTCACCTCTTTTATTGGGGTTGCGCAACAATTTGATCTATCGTATTTGGATTGGATCAAGTTGAATTAAATATATGTGGTCCAGTGTTTAAATTTTTACTATTGTATATAATTATTAACGAATGGTTTAAAGCAACCGAATTAAAAAAAAAACTTCTGACGTGTGTTTTTAATCCTCAAATTTTCTTCACTTTCGAATTAGTTCTTTTATAATTAGAGATCGATAATTAAATTCAACCGTTGCACACCTCGAAAACCACAACCAAACTCTCAAAAACCTTTTATTACATAAAACAAAACTACTCAATTGAGATATTGTTATAATAAATTTTCAGATTTCCTATCAACATCGTTTTCTCTAATTATATATTCTTATGCACCACAACCCATCTATATGCACAGTCCTATTAAAATATACATATAACATAAGTGTTTAACAATTAATTAATCTTAATCCACTTCCCTAAGATGATCTCAAAAGGTCAAAACCGAATTTTCTATTGTTGTTTGTAGGTCACCCCATTTGCCCTCTAATCCAAAACCACCATCTTAATGGGCCTACTTTGACTCGCCTTTGACTTGACTCCATGACACCCTCTTGGCATGATTTGTTGATTTCAACCTGATTCTGGGCGGACCACCTCTCTCTATCAGTCCCACCGGAGGTAAAACGGAACGACAGACCCGGATAGGAATAGCATTGGCCCAAAAGCCTGAAAATCCTAGGCGGACGTCGGCCGGCGAGAGCACAGTGGCTGATTCTGCATTTCTACTTCTTGAAGAATTCTTCTGGTCTTCCCGTTTACCGATTTCACTTTCAGGGTTTTGTTATTTTGTGATTTCCCGAAGGAGGAGGAGAAAAGACAAAAGAAAGAAAATTGGGGTTCTTGCGTCTTCCTTTTTTTTCAGGCGACAACAATGGCGCCCAGAGGCCGGAAGAAGGTGATGGGGCACTGATTCTTTCTACCTTTTGGACTCTCTTCTCCCTTACTTCTTTCTATGTTGAAATCCCATTTGGGGGGAAAGTTTCCTTCTTTCTGATCGTTTGGCTTTCTCTCTCCTCTTGTTGTTCCCGGTTCAGGTGGGTCTGAAGCGAAAGGACGCCGCCATTGATGCAATGCTGATGATGGGCTTCCCCCGTAAACTGATCAACCAAACAATCACCGAGCTCTTGAAAGTGAGTGTCCAAAGATTAATCCTTTTCGTTCTCTGAATTTTGTGTTCGTTTACCGAATTGATGGAATTTCGGTCCAGGCTTACGGTGGCAATGATGGTTGGATATTTATCGAGATGGATTCCTACAAAGCCCTCGTTGAAGCCATCCTGGAGAAAGACGTCCCAGCGGTAAAACCCTTTGATCCTTTTCCTTGTCTTGTTACCAGAAAGTTGGATATATGCTCTTTACCTACTTGAAATTGAAAAGCCATTGTCGAATTTCATCAATGCACCATCTGAGATTTCAATGAAACAACTCAAGGGTTTAGAGCTAGTGGCCAGCCATGAGCCATGTTCTCTAACCGATGCTTGCTTGCGTACTTGACTACTTGCTATTTGTCTTTGTTGCAATGGCTTGTAATCTGCCTGTTACGAACTCAAAGCCGGCTGGCATTACGCATTTGGTTATGATCTTGAGCTGAAACTTACATGGTGAAGTCTTCTCCCCAGAAAAGGAATCTTTGTTTGACTATTGGTTGCATTGGTTGCTTCTCTCATGTGTTTCTTGTTGGTGAAGGCGGAATGCTCAGAGGATGACGACTTAGGTGGCAACAGCAACATACTCTCTGAAGCTGGGTCCTCTAGTGTTCCACCACCACAACCACCTGTTCATGAAGAGGTTGCTACACTTTCATCACCACCTGATGATGGTCTAGACAGTGCGTCACAGACCGAGGCAGCTGTGAATCCTCGGTTCCCCATTCCTGAATCTGGTAATGAAATTTTGCTTACTTAATTAAGTAGGATGAATTGCCTGGTTTCGTGCTATCAAGTAAATCACTCAGCTGACTAATGAAAACCCAATAATTCCCTCTCCTTGGCAGAATGCAGTGTCTTCACATCCCCGGTCGAAGAAAGGGGAAAAGGCGCTGCTGCTGGACCTCTGGGCCACGTTTCTAAGCTAAGCAACTCCATGGTTTCATGCTCTATTGAAGATCCAGGTCCAACTCTCTCCTTTGCAGAATGTGTCTTCACATCCCCAGCTGAAGAATGCGAAGATGCTGCCCCACCAGACCAGGTCTCCAACTCTGTGGCTCCACCCCGTGATGAACATCGAGCTCCACGTCTCTCCTCGCCAGCATGCAAGGTCTTCACACCCCCAGCAGAAGTAAGTAAAGTTCCTGGCCGCCTGGACCCGGCTCCTAACCTAAAAAACGACTCCATGGCTCCATGCTTTGAGGAACATCCAGCTCCTGTTCTATCTCCCATGAGTGATAAGCATAGGCCGCCTTGCCATGGCTGGAGGAAGCGTCCTCGTTATGATGAGCCAACAAACATCGCGGAACTTGAGCCATCACCATTGCCGGAGAAATTGTTGAAGTTGTTTGGCAGAGACATCCCTAGGCCACGGAAGAGAATGTGGGATGTGAAGAGCTAGGAATGGTTGTGAAATTTGGTTGAGAATACAAGTAAGTTCTGCTTTTTTGGCTATGGTTATGTAATGATTAGGAGGTTTGTTGTAAGGCTTGTTTGTAGATCTCTTGGCTGGATTTGGACCCTGGAAGACGACTGTCTGTAGGAATGAATGAGCAGGTTTATAGTGGTGTAGGGAGTTCCAAGAATACGGGAATCAGGAAAGCTGTTGATAGTTTTGTTTTGGCCTTTGGGAAACTGACCCAACTTGTTTGTGATGTAGGTGTATGGTTTCAGCCTAACTTGTTACGAGTGTATGGAATTGTGGATAAAGTGTTAGGGTGCGTTTGGATACAATGATTTGGATTTGGTATTTGTGATTTGGATTTCTAAATACCAAATCATGTGTTTGGATATTAATTACATTTGGTATTTGGATTTGTGTCAAATTCATGGGGTGATTTCCAAATACACGTCTAGTGTATTTTTTGTCAACTTCAAATACATTTCAACAACTAGTGATTTGAAATACCTCATAACAAAAAATTGGACCTATTTGTAAAATATGAAAAGTTTAGGTACTATAGTGTGAGGAAAAACATATAAAGGTACCAAAATGTAATTTTACCATCAAAATTTCAGGACTTTTTTGTAAAATTTTAAAATTTTAGGTACTAAATTGTAAGAAAAAATAAATTTGGGTACCAAACTGTAATTTACCAAAATTTGTAGTAAGTGACCAAAATTTAAAAATTCAAATTGAAAATCGTAAAATACAAAATACAAACAAATTACAAATGAGTATCCAAACAATGAATTTGAATTACATGTATTTCAAATGCTAATATTTCAAATACATTCATTTCAAATGCTAGTATTTCAAATACCTTACATTTAAAATACACTTATCCAAACGCACCCTTAGTGAATTGTTTGAGAAAACATCTGAACAGATTCCAGTGCAAATTATAATAGTGGATAGTAGCCTAAATTTCATAAGGGAGATGAGTTACTGAGTTGTGTAACATTTGTCAAATTTTAATAACAGAAAGCAGTCTAAATTTCACATGGAAAATGATTTGTGTAATAAGATGACATTATCTATTGCTGTTTATGGTATGTACCGGGCGGTTTTGCGAGGCTTCACTGGCTTCGTACGGTCCTGGGTGGATGAGAGGCGGCCCTCGAAGTCCTGCAAGAAAGGTCCACAGGGGGTGCCCTGGGACCTCCTCCGATGCCTAAGTTAGAGAGAGAAGTGGATGTGGAGTAAATAAGAGAGAGAATCGAGTAGATAGATGTTACCATAAATGTGGCCTCACAATGGGTATTTATACTAGTCTCGGCTCGACTGTGCGCATTTAATGCATGTCGGGCGGTCTAGAGCGCCTCTGACTTTGCTAACGTCTTCCTGTCAGATTCCATATCGTGAAGCCAGAGTGTCGGGCGGTCTTCTGGCCTTGCCCTTCCCAGATGTCGGGCGGTCTCATCGTGTGGCCCATAAAGACCGCTCTCGCCCACTATCTCTGGCTTGGGCCTTATTCGTTCTTTCATGGGCCTTCGATGCTCTTTGGGCTCACGGGCTGCGTGTCTTCCTACTAGGCCCAACAATTGCAATGTCATTGAACCGCGGGCTAATCAATTAGTCAAACCACTTCGATCTAAATTTGGTATTCTAATAAGGTGACATGAACCTAATAGAGAGTAGGCCTGGACTCTATCCAACCCGAATAAACTGACTGATCTGATTGGCTGGCCAAATTATTTTGAAATTATTTCAAAACAAGCTAAAAATTTAAACGATATTCCTCACCATTATAAAAAAATTAAATGAGATTGTTAACTGTCAAACCTTTAAAATTATAGTCTCAAATCAACAATTTCATCACTGTATTAAACATGAATTTGTGCCTATATCTTACAATTTCTCATCTTATACTTACCTTTGGACCCCATAGGAATATTTTGAAGATTTGAGTAGTTTTTTCATTTTTGGATAATGTCTACTTTTTATTCAATTTTTTTTCCAGATTCTTTTATATTATCCAAACCTATTTAAATGTTATTAATTAACCAAATCTTTCGTAATGCATCAAAATATTAGCCATTTCTCCATTTTTACGTTATCGCTAATAATTTTGTAACTATTTTCTTTGTTAAAATACTAAAATTTTGCAATGTTAACCTTCATGTGCCTCTTCCAAGTCAGTATCATGTTGTCAAATCAATATTGCTAACAAAATTGCTAACTGAAATTTAACAGTTGTGTAATTCTTACTATTTCGATAAGTTTGGATAATATAAAAGAATCTAAAAAGATTAGGATAAAAAATAGAAATTACCCTAGTTTTTTTCACATAAGAAGAATATTGAGTACTTTAGTTTTTATATTTTGAATTCTGTGTACGAGTATTTGAATGTAGATGTTATATGTTGGTTCAAGTATGCGATACGTTTTTTCTATATTGAGATTTAAGTATAAACGTTTGATATTGACATTGTATGTTATATTTGAACCTTTGTCATGTTTTTGTAATATTGTATTTTATTTGAATATAAATGTCAAAAAGTTATTGAAATTAGAAATAATTAATATAACTACGCAATAGATGTGACATCAACAATTATTTTACATATCTAAATTAAACATGCTAAATCGATTCAACCACGACTCTTTAACCTACTTCTCGACCGGATCAATGGTTGAAATCGGGCTGACAATATCCGGACTATATTGTATATTGTACCTTAAGTTGCTGAATAAACACACTTTATTGAACACGCGGCAAAATGTAAGCGGCTAGACGAGATACCTCGAAAGACTGAAAATATCATTAGGCGGGCAACGGACGAATCAACGGATAATTCCTTTAGGATTTCTCCTTCTCTGCTAGCTCCACCCACCTGAGAAATCACCAGATAAGCCGGCGGCGGTGGAGATTGGAATCACCTCAACGAATCTTCACCAGTCTGAAGACAGCTCCTAATTTTGAGAAATTTGTATGGAGAGCTAGGGTTTCGATTCGGCTAATTGAAAAGGAGTCCTGTTCTCTTCTTTCGCGCAGACACAGAAATGAGCACTTCAGTGATTCTCCGCGGTGATTGTAGTCCATTGCTGCTCTACTCGCCGGCGATTTGCAGCTCTTGTTTTTGCGACCTTCGCTCCCCGCCATCCTCCGCAACATTCGTCGCTTCTTGCCGCCGGCTGAAACGGTATCGGGCGAGAGATTTGAAGCTTTGCCTGGCTCCAAAGTAAGTCTCAACTTCAGCTTCATTATGGCTTTTCGGAATGAATTCATTTCCATTTCCGGTCAGTAATTAGATAGTTCATCGTATTCGAGTATAGGCTCTATGAGACAAGAAGGATAGTTTGTAGAGCGACGGAGACGCAGATTGAACCTGAGAACAATGACGATAAGGTAAAATGGTTCAGCTACTAATTGACATTCGCTCCTCACTGGAAACCCTGATAGTTGAATGCTGAGCCTATCAGTATCATCTATCTTCAGGAAAATGATGCACCTGCAGGAAGCGAGGGAGAGGAATCGGAAGTCGATTCACCGGCTGAACAAGTTCCCCAGCCTGATTCTCAGCCTATAATGCTGAATCAAATCAACAATGTCAATGGGGAAGCCAAAGCTGAAGGTGGAACCGTGGTACTTTATCTGTATTCCGCATTCAAGTGTTGCAATTGCTACCTAGCATTGCATTTTTGTTTGAATCCAATGGGGCTTCCTCCATCAATCTGCTTGAAATTAACGCGTATTCGTGTTCAAACTGTATACATTGTCCTTCTTCTGATTATCATTCTTGAAAGATTATTGTAGTTGCAACTGCGATTCAGTAGATAAGCAGACGAATCAGTATAAGGGATTGGCTTTCTCTAGTTGTTAATTAATCATGGCAACATTTTCTCATTGTAAACTTATTATTTTGGTAGGAGGTTGAGGATGTGCAAGTTACTTCAGGGTCCCCTCTCCCAGGCTTGAAGGTAAGCATATGAAGTGTTTTCAACTCTTGTCCTGATTGATGAATTTTCTGTGGAAGGTTAATTCACCAATCTTACCCAACAGCTAGATGAGTCATTCAGGATTCCAAAGGAAACGGTTGACATACTTAAGGATCAAGTGTTTGGGTTTGACACTTTCTTTGTCACAAGTCAGGAGCCCTATGAGGTTAGTGAATGATGTTTATTGGTTCATTTTCCAGGACCGTTAATGAATTTTCATGTTCAAGATACCAGTAGTTGTTTATCTTCATAACCTATTAATCCTTCTACAAGAATTTAAGGTGCCATAGGAATTAGACACAGTTATTCAAATACTTTAGCTATATATGAAGCGCTACGTAAATGATCAGAATCTTTTGATTTTTATTTTACAGGGCGGAGTCTTGTTTAAGGGAAACCTGCGTGGGCAAGCTGCTAAAAGCTGGGATAAGTTAACAAAGAGACTGCACGTATGAACTCTATATGCTTGCTTGCTTTTGAATGCCCTACGAGTGACTTCTGAATCATTTTCCACACATCTTGCAGACCAAATTTGGCAATGAGTATAAACTTTTCCTTCTCATTAATCCGGAGGATGATAAACCAATTGCAGTAGTAGTTCCAAGAAAGACACTGCAACCAGAGACAACAGGTACTTGGAGCTTAAAAAGCAACGACTAGCCATTTAAGATCAACTGTGTATTCTGTGCAAGAACTCTCTTTTGCATCCTAATTATGACACTATTGGTTCTTTTCCAGCGGTACCTGAATGGTTTGCAGCAGGCGCTTTTGGAATAGTCACAGTTTTTACCCTGCTTCTTAGAAATGTACCTCAACTGCAGTCCAACTTACTGTATGGAATTATCTATCTTTATACTTCTTTGTCTTTCATGTCTTTTCCTTGTGAAAATGAAGCGCATTAGCCAAATCTTTCTTTTGTGCCTTGATTAATTGAAAATCTATGCACATGTATGACTGGTGCAGATCAACTGTTGACAACCCCGAGTTGTTGTACAATGGCCTTCCTGGAGCCCTTGTCACTGCACTTATTCTCGGGGTACATGAGTTGGGCCACATAATCGTTGCTAAAGACGCTGGGATTATGCTTGGGGTTCCATACTTTGTCCCAAGTTGGCAGGTAATATGCATGTTGAACCCTGATCCCTATGGTGGGAACCTTATCCTGCCTTGCCACCACCGTTTCTACTTCTATATCAAAATTTTTTATATAATTTCTTCATAACGAGATATCTAGGCTCTAATGATCTATGTCGATGGGCAGATAGGCTCCTTTGGTGCTATCACAAGAATAAGGAACATTGTCTCCAAACGCCAAGACCTTCTCAAGGTTGCAGCTGCAGGCCCTTTAGCCGGCTTCTCCTTGGGTTTTGTCCTTCTTCTTCTGGGATTCTTCTTACCGCCCAGCGATGGAATCGGCACCATTGTGGACCCTACTGTTTTTCATGAATCATTTCTTGTTGGCAGTCTTGGTAACCACTTCTCTGTCGACCACAATGTATATACAATAGTACTTTTGGAATCATGTTATGATGAAGTTTAACTCCCGGTTTGCTTTGTAGCTAAACTGCTCCTAGGAGATGCACTGAAGGAGGGTAGTCCGATATCTATCAATCCGCTAGTGATATGGGCATGGGCTGGACTTCTAATAAATGCCATCAATAGCATCCCTGCAGGAGAGCTTGATGGAGGAAGAATATCTTTTGCCATATGGGGAAGGAAGGTACAAAGTAAAGAAGAAGAGACAGTAGTACACCATTGATTGCACCCATTCCTTTATTCTACATTCCTAATGATTGTTTCTTTTGGTTCACTTGCAGACCTCGTCTCGCTTCACAGCTGCCTCGATCATCCTTCTCGGGTTATCTTCACTGTTTAACGACATTGCCTTCTTCTGGGTCGTTCTGATATTCTTCTTGCAGAGAGGTCCAATCGCCCCAATCTCGGAAGAGATCACCGATCCCGACGACAAATACATTTACCTCGGAGTATTAGTTCTGGTGCTGGGGCTGTTGGTATGCCTGCCATACCCAATCCCTTTTAGAGAAGACGTCATGACGAGTTTCTTGTGAGGTGGGTAGTGGCATTGTTAGTTTGTTACTCAAATCCCCCAAAAGGTACGATGGATCTCTCTTACTTACTGCCATTGTCGTGTACATGGACCGCAGTTGTGTAATCCGAGAACTCTTTTTTTGTTTTGTCAAAGATATTCCGAATCCAATTGATAGATATGAAGATAGTTATAATGAAATGAAATGATCAAACTATCAAATAAGAGACTTTTTTATGGTACAAAATGGGCAGCAGCCTTTTGATAGCTTAACGACATTAACGTCACGAATCCTTTCATGAAAGTATTCTTAATGCGACGATCAAAACTCTCGAGCCTCTACACGTTCATCGGTGAAAGCAATAGAGTGCGGTTCTGCAAAACTCGTCTTCTGCTCATGAAAGGACAGCATCAGCCAGGCTAGACCTGCACAAATAAGAAACGAAATTGCCACCAAAATATGTTGTTCCTTGAGGGTAATAGTTTGCCTCTCTGTTAGCAAGACTGTGATCATGTCTTGATGGTGGCTTATTTAATGGACAGGGACTAGAGCCAAGGGAACCAGATGCAGAGGTGCCATTCCTCCTCTTCCATACATAACTGTTATATTCTTATCCTGACAACATGGTCAGGTTTCAAAGATGTGACTTATTAGTCAATTACTAGTTTCAACCACTGCAGCGGTGGGCGAGTATACGCATTAGAGAGGCGGCGACGGCTGGAGAAGACAACGAAGGGCAACCAACGTCAGCATCACAAAGCAGATACAGAGAGATCTCATAGGCTTTCTTTCAGCAGCCAAATATTCCTGCACTTGCAGAATGTCGCTTGGCGATTCGTCGTATTCTAGATTTTCTTGGTCTCGATCTTCTCCGCCTTCCCATGTTGCTGCTGTTTGCTCTGTTGACCTCTTCTTGATCTTCACCTGTGGAGACGGAGAACTTGGTCGAGCAATTGAAGCGATCCTGTAAGGGTGTAACTTGGCACCTCTTTTTGTCGTGAAATGAAAATGTTACTGCTGATAAGAAAGAAAAAAGTCAAAAACAGACAACGAAACCAAGTGACATAGTTTACTAACAAAAAGCTAGAAAGAAGGTTCATATACGTAGGCTTGTTATAGTTAATTGTTATAGTTAATTGGTCACTGGTTACTCGGTTAACCGCGTAATCCAACCAAAATTCTCAATTTTCCGATCAATCGATAACTTAAAAAATGTTGCAGTTTACGGTTGTCATTTTTTGTTGAAGAAGATGAAGTGCGGTTAGCGGTTGATAACCGCAATCCTCGCGGTTAAACCGTCAAAACCGCACCGATCTTCCCACGCCTGGCCAAGACGAAGTCGTTGTCCACAGACCATCTCCATCTGGTTGCGAATTGCGATTGAAGGTACACAGGGGAAGCGAATCGGGCCGAGAGAGAGGAACCCTAAATTGGACCCTCTCAAAAGTTGCTCCCTCCGCCACCCACCTCCGATTTCCTCCCCGCCGAATCCTAACCCTCCCAGCCGCTAGCCATACTCATCTCATTGTCGTCGTCCTCCCCAAGCCGTCCTCATCGACGTCATCGCCTTGCTGCCTTCTAGTCCTCACGTCGCACAGCCGCCGATTGTTGTCGTCCTTGCCTGTCTTCCTCACCTCGTCGCATAGCCGCCGCCGTCACCACCCCGTAGGCTAGTACTCGTCGCCGGCCGCCTTTCCAGTCTCCAGTATTGCGGTCTCGACTAACCAAAAATAAAAATCAAAATCGTATGGTGCGGTTGGCGGTTAATCGAAGATTCCTTCGATTGTGGCGGTTGGTGGTTCTTGGACATTCTCAATTGTGGTTAACCACTGGTGCAATTCTCAATCGTGGTTAATCGAAAATTCCTTCGATTGTGGCGATTGGTTGTTCTTGGACATTCTCAATCGTGGTTAACCACTGGTGCAATTCAGTTAAACCGAAACCAACCAACTAACATGTCCAGATATAAGATATTAACAAATGTTACTATCTTAGTTATATCTCATACTATTTAGTACATTTATCCTTATTATCACACATAAATTCAGCCTAACTCGAGCATTGAAACTTAATTTATAGTTTCAATGTTAGCTATCGATTTAAACAAGAGGAGCATAAAAAAACAACAACTCAACGTGCCTACTTAGACCCAACAAAAGAGACGCATTGCACATCTTGCCTAAAAAAGAAAGGGTTGCATGGATGTTAGGGTTGGGTGTGAGATTTAATACCATATCCAATATATATGGATTTTGTTCAAACGCGTTACTTGGTAGCCCAGCAGTTAGGTTCCTGTCAATTTATAAAATTTTAGATAACATATCCATTTGGTCCTGTAAATATGAAAACCCCACACATCAGATATCCAAAAAAGTAAAAATCCCCAATTTGGAATATAATTTTGTCAACATCTTCTGGATTCAATAATCAAGTTCGTGTTACAGAATACAGATCCCTTCCAAACGTATGATAAAATAAATCGAATATGTTATATGCCGTCATTATATTCCATTGACAAAAAGCATATAGATGAAGATTACTACCTAAATACCCGTATTTATCATCCTAAAATAGCCCATAAGATCACTAACTACTAGTAACTAAAAAATTATCCTCCTCACCTCAAAACGAGGAGCACACGAACGTTGATAACCGTAAGGGGCAAAATCGGAAAACCCTAGGTCGCACAACTAAAAAAGGTTCTGATATGGACAGCGGTCGTCGCGTTGCGTCACCTTAATAATAAGTCCGATTTCCACTGCTACCCCTCCGTCAGATTCTTCCCCCCCTTTTCGCCACCGCAGCTATAAACAGCCTCCCCCACGCCCGTTGCTCAGCCGGCAGCCAGTAAACAGAGAAAACTTAACCTGTTCAGTTGCAGAGAGACGGCGAGCGATTCTAATCGGAGAGAGTCGAATCAAATTCAATCGGAGAGAGTCGAATCAAATTCAAATGAAGCTCTCGTCGGCTGGAGCAGTAATGCAGAGCTTTGGAGTAGCACCTCACAACCGGCTGTCTCCGGCGCGCCTCGGTCAGTGCCTGATTCCTCCGTTAGCGTTTCCGGTGGCCGGCATTTCGTTGAGGAGGCCGAGCTCGGCGTCGTTCTCTTCCGTCCTGAGAATCAAATGCGTCGCGGCCTCGGGCAGCAGCTCTTCAATTGGTAATTGATTCTGATTGGCGATTGTGAGCTTTGTGATTTAGTTTGCATGTGCTGTGCCTTAGGGCACATCGGTCCCTCAATTTGTCGTCGCTTGGTGCTTGTTTTGAATATTTTCTTGTTTGCTTGTTTGGTTTCTGAGGAAAAGCGCAGAAAATGACGAAAACAGAATTAGACAAAGTCCCACCACAGTCGCTTTTCTCATGCTTTCCTTATCGGGAATGAAACGACGTCGTTTAACGCAGAATAACATTGTTCTTTTTCTGAAGCGGGTGTTTCCTGTTTTTTTCATGTCTCTCCAATGTTTGTAGCTGTAGAGCCAGCAGAGTTCATGGAAGCAGCTAAAAAGGGGAATTTGATCCCACTGCAGAGGCAGATATTCTCGGACCAGCTAACTCCAGTCACGGCTTATCGGTGTCTGGTGCGAGAAGACGATAGGGAAGCACCGAGCTTTCTCTTTGAATCCGTTGAGCCAGGTTTTCGTGTTTCACGCGTGGTGAGTGATGAATTTCTCCCCATCCTCTCTTGCTCTCTGTGTTTTTTTTTCTCCTGTTGTAAACTGCTCCTAATTTTACCTTGGATTGAATGGGGGATCAGGGGAGGTATAGTGTGGTTGGCGCCCAGCCTGCCGTTGAAATTGTGGCGAAAGAGAATCAAGTTACCATCATGGACCATGAACGTGGCTTGCTCACTGAACAAACTGCTGAAGATCCAATGACGATTCCCAGAACCATCTCAGAAGGTTGGAAGCCGCAGTTGGTGGGCGGTCTCCCTGCAGCATTTTGCGGTGAGCGAAAGTGTGTTTTCTAGGATCAAGTGATCTGCTATTACTGGCTTGCCATTCCTGTCTAAGCCAGTGATTGTGCTGTTACTGCAGGCGGGTGGGTTGGTTTCTTCTCGTATGACACGATTCGATATGCGGAGAAGAAGAAGCTGCCGTTTGCAAATGCTCCTGAGGATGATCTAAACCTTCCCGACATACATATCGGTCTTTATGATGATGTTATTGTCTTTGATCATGTTGAGAAGGTACCCTTCTATAGCTGTCTATTGTATTTTTCGCAAGCTGGATTGTTAGTTTACCTTGCAAAGAACTGCATTGAAAGGAGCCTCACGTTACGTGGTTATTGGTCTTTGTAAAATTCAGAAAGTACACGTGATCCACTGGGTTCATACAGACCAGTACTCATCTGCAGAAAGTGCTTATGCCGATGGAATGAAACGTCTGGAAACACTTGTATCCAGGGTGCAGGACATTGACCCGTAGGTCCACTCGTTTATTCATTTTAACTTTTACCATCCATTCCTGCACTTTTACTAGTCCTGATTTATACTGTTGCTGAACCATGAACTTCTCCTGAAACTTTTGTCTGATGCTCAATTGGTAGTCCGAAGCTGTCTCCTGGGTTCGTGAATGTACAAACGAGCAAATTCGGTCCTTCATTGACGAAGTCAAGCATGACAAGTCAAGAGTACAAGGACGCTGTACTGAAAGCAAAAGAGCACATCCTGGCTGGGGACATTTTCCAGGTGGTTTTGAGTCAGAGGTTTGAACGTCGAACGTTTGCCGATCCATTCGAGGTCTACCGAGCTTTGAGAGTTGTGAATCCCAGTCCTTACATGGCTTACGTGCAGGTATAGAATATGACATTCTTTTACCTGTCTTCTGCTGGTAACCCTTTAATTGTCTTGAACTTCAACTCAAATTTAACCTCTTTATCTCACAGGCAAGAGGGTGCATTTTGGTTGCCTCCAGCCCTGAAATTCTCACCCGGGTGAAACAGGTAACTTTTAATTTCCTACTGTAAGAAATTTCACCGTCCACAATTCTAAGTTTTGTGAATGAGATAACGAGGTTTCAAATTTCAATACAATCTGTATTTTTCACAGAACAAGGTAGTAAATCGGCCACTTGCCGGAACCATCAAAAGAGGGAAAACAGCAGAGGAAGACGAAGTCCTGGCGAAGCAGCTCCTCGATGACCCAAAGCAATGCGCCGAACACATTATGCTCGTCGACTTGGGTAGAAACGATGTCGGAAAGGTTGAACCACCCCCTTAATTTCGAATGCAAATCCCCAAACCTCACTTCTGAGGAAAGACTTTTTCTTTCTTCTAATCCTTCCCTCTTGTTTTTTTTTTTTTTCCATATACAGGTTTCGCAGTACGGCTCTGTCAAGGTCGAGAAACTAATGGAGATCGAGCGGTACTCCCATGTCATGCACATAAGCTCAACGGTAGAACCCACATTAACAAACTGTTTCCAACTCACGATATCAGAATGTTTCAGCATGGTTCTATCTATCAGAATTTTGGTTTGTTTTCTAGGTGACAGGGGAGTTGAGGCACGACCATACCTGCTGGGACGTACTCCGGGCAGCCCTGCCGGTGGGCACTGTGAGCGGAGCTCCGAAAGTGAGAGCCATGGAGCTGATAGACACCATGGAGGCGAAGAAGCGTGGGCCCTACAGCGGAGGTTTCGGTGGGATTTCGTTCATGGGGGACATGGACGTGGCTCTGGCTCTCAGGACGATGGTGTTCCCCACCGGAGCGAGGTACGACACCATGTACTCGTACCAAGACACCGCGCATCGGCAGCAGTGGGTAGCGTATCTCCAGGCCGGCGCTGGAATCGTGGCCGACAGCATCCCCGAGGACGAGCACATCGAGTGTCAGAATAAAGCCGCAGGGTTGGCTCGGGCGATTGACCTGGCGGAGTCAGCTTTCCTCCCGAGCCAGCAGCCACGAAGTAGCCGGGAACGTAAGGCTGTGGATGGGAATTGAGGGACAATTGAATTTACCAGGGGTTGGCAAGGGAATGGTTGGCGAGCAGAAATGCTGTGTGGTATGCAGAAGATTGACGCTAGGGTCGTAGCTCGTGCTTTTACCAGGCGGGTAAGTTTTGAGGTAACTAGAAATGGAGCATGGCAGGTTCTCATATACCAATGTTCGACATTAGCACGAGTAAGATTGAGTAATATTTGAATGGAGACTAATTAAACAGATCGTCCTATTCTGATATGTAATTAGAAAAAAGAATGTAATTAGATCGGCGGATCAATTAGTATGGACTGTCACTTTTACATTTCAATCTTGCAACCTACTATCGATTTACAATCTATTTATGGCAAAAATAAATAAAAAAATATGGAGAAGTTAAGAACAGGGAAGGACGAAAGGAAGATAAAGATCCCATTCTACTACATCCATGCTAATTGCTAGCAAGGTAAGAAATTGTGAAATCCCACAAGAAGTTGTATCAAAGAAGTTAGTAATAAATAATTTTGTGCATAATTATGATTCAACTGTTTAATATCGTTGAAAACTGCCTCTCAATTAACGCTCTGAGGTTTTCACGATCGAAGCAATGAACTGAGAAGTACTCGAACAACGAACAAATCAGGACAGATTCGGCCACACAGGCAGATCGAAATTGACATTTCCAACAAGTTAACAACCCAAGGCCTTTTACTCAAAAAAGAAAAAAAAGAAAAAAAAAACAACCCAAGGCCACATACAATATGAAATATAAGCCACGATGCAAGGAAAATGGGGAGCTACCCTTGCATTACACTCAAGGAGGCGAGGCGACTTCAAAATCAGAGTTCAAACAGAACAAACTAAATTAACACACCTGATATGCCGTAGAGGGGCCAAGATCAAAAGATACCCTACCCATAGAGAAGAAACAGAAGAAAGGAAGGACATTTTTTTTACCCCAAGTGTGTGTACCACAACTCCTGGCAAAAGCAAAAAAAGCCTCGTTCGGTTTCGTTCCTTCCTTCACTTGGCTCCAAAAGAGAGTGTTGTTGGTGTTTTCCCTACTTAACATATAATTATTACGTGGGCTTCACTACTACTGTTGCCTTCCCTTCTTCGTGCAGCAAGATGGGCACTTGTAATGCTTGATACTCTCTGCCTTGGCTGGTGTGATCTTCACGCATTTCCCATGGTACCACCTTTCGCAGATATCACACCCGATCCAAAACTCGTCCGAGTTGTATGTTCCTCCGCAGCTTCCGCAGATCGTCTCCCCGTGCTCATCTTCTTCATCTCCATCGTTATCGTCCATTAGCTTTGAGTTGTTTTTCGCCTGTCCATCCAGTGATCTCTGCAAGGCAAAGACAAGCTAAGATGGTCATTGCCAGATGCAAAAGGAAAACCAGGAGGAACCAAGAGGGTTGTTGACTAACTTAAGATGAGGAGAAGAAGAACGTTTTTACCTTCCCGTTGTTCCTAACTTTACTCCCACTGTCCACACTCGGTTTGTCTTTCACTGGCTTCCTTCCAGTTACAACTTCAAATAGGCTTGGCAGGTCATTTATCATACTGAAAAGCCGCTTCCTGTTCAACCAAAAGCAAGAGAGTGTTCAACAATAAAGAAAAATTTATGGGTTCAACTAGCTAGGATCCTTGTGTTTCTATTAAGAGAGGACTATCTCTGTAAGAGAACAGAAGAAAACATGAAAGGGCATTTTACCTCTCGTTGCGATTAAGCCGGGCACCAAAGTAGAATGACACTGAGAGAAGCCAACAGTCGCTGTGAACTGCGACAAGAGAGAGCCAATCTTTGCGTTGCATCCCATCTCTTGCAAAATTGATGCCCAGAGCTGGCTCGGGTAGTTCCGGTGGAACCTCCTCTGCTGGAAGAGTCACCTCCCATGACTCATTTGGGTGTCCATACAAACACAAATTCTCCTTTTCTGACATTATCAAATGCAGCCACGTTTAGCAACCACCCATTTAAACTAGGAGAAACTACAGGAAAACAAACCATCACAACATCACATGCACCAAGTCAAACCATTGCCAAAGCAATTAACCATCTCAACTAATGTATCTCGGTTCCGTCACCTAGCTCACATCCATAGAAACAACCCAGTTCAGGGCTTGAAGCAACATTGTTCACTGGCTAACAGCAACACACAAAGTGAAATGTACTCCAACTAAAAGAGCAACAGCTTCAAGAAACTGTATTATTAGTTCACTGGGCAGACAAGTCAGCAAGGAACATCCAGCCCAGAGTAGCTCTAAAGACCACACTGCACAAAGCAATATAGCCCCCGCAAAGAGGTAAAGAACAAGAAATTACAGTAATTGCCAACTCATCAGCTAGCCAGAACCAGAGATCCACATATCCCCACATTCCCACATTGCGGCTTCCACAATACCAACTACATCTAATCACACACATAATTAGCCAGATACAATGCACAAACCAACAAGGGAGAATAGAAAGGGAAAAGAAAAAACTGAAAAAAGAAGTCAACTTCTCTTCATCCCAACTCTTCAGTTCTGGTCAGCGGCTCGCCGTCCCAAATCCACACACAAATCCAAAACCCATCTCTGGGGAAACAAAAAGCAACCAACTTCGCCCCTCCAGTCCCCAATTGCTTCGACCCAATTCACTACTGCACCATAAACAGAGATGGAAATAGAGAAATTTCACGAACCTGGATCACATTGCGAGTAGAAATCATCCACATCTGAAACCAGAACAGCAATAAGAAGAAAGAAAAAGCCGTAAGCAAAGGTGGGAAATTATCAGCACATGCGTCGAAGAAAACAATGAAGGAGGGGAGGAAGGAAAACAGGAAAATGGAAATTAGGGTTTTGGTTTTGAGTACCGAAAGTGAGAGCGCGGACTAGGCCGGCGCGGCGGGCGGAGAAGTCCTTGAAGATCTCTTCGACTGTGCGTGGGCTAGAGGAGATGGAAGCCATTAACATGCATATATAGAAAAAGGAAGTCACTTGTATCACAGGAAGAACTAAATTAGGGGAAGCACAAGAAGAGGAGAATCGGATCCAAGTGGAAGAGTTGTTTGCGGGTTTAGAACAGGTGGAGAGAAGAAGAAGTTACAGTGGGTAAATCCATAAATACGAGAAAACTGGGAGCACAGAGAGATAAAGGGAGACAAATACAGACGCAGAAGGGGTCTGCTGTCTGTAAACAGAGAAAGAAACAGAACCTAAAAGAGAAAGAGAAGGAGAAGCTAAAGAAGCACAGAGAGAGAGAGAGGCTGGTTGGTTAGACTTGAACCTTCGTTTGGCGTTTTTCTATGCACGGTTGGGACTTGGGAGCATTGTATTGGGCTTACCAGTGTGAATATTTATTTATTGGGCTCTTAGATTCTCGATTGTTTGACGTCTAAAATATGGGCTTTTCCCTGACTTACTCTCCTGCTCGTTTTTGGGCTTTCGAAAATGCTTTGCACATGATCAATTGCCGCATCGGGCACTGATAACGCTATTTTTGATTGGTTCACCTAAAAATGATGTGGCAGTGATTGGTTTATTCAAATCCAAGCCTTATCATTTGGTCAGTAATTGGGCCCAAGTCGCCTACACGAAAATCTTTTTTTTTGTCAAAATTTTTTTTTGTCAAAATTTAGGTCATCCTATTTGTTGGTTGAGGTTACACGATCCCGCTCTAAAGCGGCAAAACGCAGTTTTTGATAAATTCGGCAAAAAATCGCGAATTACTTATTCAGATATTTGTGGTGCGCGATTTTAGTTTGGGAGAGCGCGTTTCATTCAGGTACTGGTATATACGAGGCGAAGAGAGGTTGGAGAAGGGCAGCGACTGTCGGCAATAGATTGTGGGTTATGTAAGACAGACACTGCATTCGATAACACGTTCCTGTCGGTGCCGATTTTCCCTGTTTTGCTGCTGGTGCTGCTATGTTTTGGTGTACTTAAAAACAGGGGTCTATCACTGACCTGGGTAATCGAAGAGATAAATAGCCGATGGCAAAGCTGCAGCGAGATGAAGGTGACGGGCGGCGGAGGCTGGAGGGAGCCTATTATAACGATGATGGATATGCTTTTAACCGCATCCAAGGTGGAAAAAAGGGGGAAAGGAAATTGGAACCATTGGAGAAAAGATGAGAAGAGAACAACGAGCAAAAAGATTAAGCCAGTTTTTTGTGGTAGTCTGGTAGAATTAGCCATTAGGGCGACCATAAATAATTATTACTTTCTGGAAAGTATAAGAACTGTTTCCAAGACAGTAGATAAAGATGAGGGAATAGAGATGTTCATTGTTGGAAGATAAAAGGGCACTGCAAATTTGCAATCCTTTACCTTCGTTGTATTGAGGTATGGGCCTTGGGCCTTCAGCCTTTGACGACCTCTTTGAAATTTGAGGTATCCGATCTGATCGAATATATTTCAATTTGATTTTTGTCCTATGAACTATTTTATGATTTGGACCGGTGCAGACAAAGTTTGATATTTTGAATATTTTTTTTTATATTTTGAACCGATTTGGTTCGATTCGGACAAAAGTTCGATCTTTTGAATATTTTTTTTTTCATAATAGATCAGATCAAACTTTTCTTTCCGATATTTTGATGGACCGAATCGAATCAAATGAGGCAAACATGTTTTGGTAAGATTATCATCCTTATTTTTTATTTGGTCCTAAATTTGTTCTGGTTCTCAATCAAATCAACCAATGCTCACCCTACTGATGCGTAACCAAACGGAGACAGCCGCGCCAATTTTGGTCATTGGTGGGCTGAGCCTTCAGTTAAATAGAATGGGCCTGACGAATATGGATCACAACTTTATGCTCGTGTCTTGGATCTCACTACCAATTATTTGTCCCGCCATTATGAAAAGAAAAGCCCACATTTGTATTGCTCGCACACGTCAAACTTTTTCTTACACGTACACGCGTTGAACGAGTCAAACAAGCGCGTAAAATTTCAAAAGAATTGGGGAACCGACTCCGGCCTATATTGTACGCTAACCGCCTCTTTCCAACGGTAATAGTTTGCCGACTGACTCGCCGTGATGGTCCCTCTGTAAATTAGAAAGGTTTCCCAACAATTTTTTTCTCCGACAAAGATGAGAAGCATCTGAGCCTAGGTTTTCGCCGTTCCACTAGAGTTAGGGTTTCGATTGTCGTGTTATCAGTGAAGGGGGTGACGCTTCTCTCTCTGACAGTGGCTCGGGTGCGATGATTGTCGCTAGCGAACAATCCTTGATGGTGTTCGAGGTTTCCGGGTGGTTAACTGGTACAGATTCTATCATCTTCTCGTTATCTTGTAGGTTTAATTTCTACGTGTTTTCTTCTTTGCCAAAGGGCTCATTGTTGTGGAAATTGTTATGTATACTATTTTTTTGCAAAACAATTCACATGTAAGATAAAAAAAAACCATGAAAAGACACATACAACCGTCCTAGCCAACATAATTCAATGTCTCTCCTTAAGAAATCTTATTCCCCTCTAGCACCCAAGGTTATAGAATGATTCCTCCCAGGATAGAAAGGACGTACCTTTTTTGGCGTAGCGGTACCTCAAACCGCGGAAACCATCGAACACAGCGACCGACAAGAACCACACTTGACTCAATTTTTCTTTTGAAAAACAATGCAGAAAAAATCAATTTAGATTTTGGCAGAGTTTTGGTATGGGAAAACGTATGTACAAACCATAGGGGTTAGGTGTTATTTATAGAGAATGAAGGGGTGCGTATAAAGGGAGGCAACTCTTCGTATGGGTGGTTACACCCCAACCAATACATTGGTTCGTTTTAAAATAATGAACCATTGCATCGGTTCGGTCCATGGTATTTGGACCGGTTTGATTATTCCAACCATCATATCGGTTTGGTTTAATTTGGTTCAACTCGATTTGGTTTGGTCTGTTTGGTTACTCAAACCAATTTAACCGATTAACCACATATTACATCAAATCGATAGAATTCGAGGTCGTGCCTTCCCACATCTTACGAACATGGTACTTTAAGAGTTTCTCTTGGATCTTTCCCCTTTCATTTTCATTCAAACCATTAAAAAAATCCCAACAATCCTCCACATGAATAGAGAATGTTGTACTTCAAAAATTATGCAAAAAATTGTGATTCTCGACTAAGAATTAGTTGCATCAGGATGGGTAGGTTTCCCTTTGAACACTAGCTCGACTAAGAATTAGTTGTATCAAAACCGAGCCGAGCTGGTCGGTCGGACCAGTAAAAACTAGACTCGACCACTAGCTCAGCTCAGAACACCCTACAGACTGCAACGACTGCGAAGGGCGGTCAGCGAGCAGACAAAATGGCTAACCGTTCGAATAGCTTGAACGTCTGACCAATTTTGGTCTACTGACTGTTGGCTATTAAAAAATTGAAAACATAAAAATCGAAAATAATGGGATAGGAGAAGATGGCGAGTGGAAGGGTTGGTAAGGCTTGACGTTCGTTGCCGAAAGGTTGGCCGGGAATAGAGTGTAAGAAATGGTGGATTTCTTTTGGGAGGGTTGGCTGGGATAAGAGGGGCGGGGTGGTGGGTTTCGTCGGGAGGGAAGGTTTGAATGCAAAGTAGAAGTAACGAAGGAAGGAGATGGGAGGGTTGGCCGAGATAAGAGGGGTGGGGATGGTGGGTTTCGTGGCAGAAAAATGCCTACATGCGGCGATTGTCAAACATAGAAAGAGGGGGAAGGATGTGGAAGCGACGCTTGGAGTTAGACAACTTAGTTATGGTGCAAACAGGATTTTTTGTTAGTATATACTAACATGGACAGATTGGTGTCCACGTGGGCAAGTCAATGATCCGACGGCTGAGAACGATTGGTTTGGCCATGTGAGAAGAGGAGGGCAGCTGACCTGTTCGCCTGGCTCATTCTCACGACCCAATTGAGAAAAGGGACCCTCAAATTCAAAATAAAAAGACCACAACCTTTTTTTTAGTCTCCTCCATTCTCTCCATCACTTTTCAGTTTCATTCTCTCTCCTCAAAAATCTTTCTTTTCCTCCTCCTACCTCTCCCAATACAAACCAGAAATCCTCTCCGTCGACGGCGATGAGGAAGAAGACGATGGCGACTGCGACGGTATCCTCTCTCTCTCTCTCTTTCTCTCTGAAGGCGATTTATCTATTTTCATTCGGGGAAAAGGGACAAGAAGCTTTTCGAAGGAAAGGTCGTTGATCAAAGAACAACTTCACAGACTGAGGTACACTTCTTCTCCTTCCTTATTTGTTGATTTTGTTTGTGGATACGAAGTTAGGGTTTCATGGATTTTTTTTCTCGAGTTGGGAATTCTGGGATTCGATTTGTAGATCTGGAATATTAGTTTCTTTCAGAGTAGATAACAGTTAGCATGCTTGGGATACTACTTTTTCATGATGTGGATATTGTTTTGTGTTGTCCAGATATTGAAAATACTATGCCTGGATATTTGTCCTACATGTTTGGATATTTCTCTGCTCTTTAATGGATATTTCTCTATACTTACAGGATATTTCTATGTGCTTCAGGGATTTTGCATAATGGAAGACAAGGAGCACTCATTGCGGTCAACCTCCGACTTTCGCACTATAACGCACATGTAGCTGGGATTAAACTTGGGTTAATTGGTTGTCTAGATATTAGTTATGTGATGTATTGATATTTTTTCCTCAATCTGGATATTACTCTGCCATATATGGATATTAGTTCCCTGATATTTGTTATGTGAGGTCAAGATATTTGTTAAATGATTACTTAATATTGCTCTGTTTGGAATGTTGTAATTGTCATGTCTTAATGACTTTGAAACCCTAAGATAATATCTATGATTCATTAAAAAAAGATAATATCCACTAGTAAAAATAATAATATCCATTTTAGATAAAACAATATCCAAACATTATGAACTAATATCATTAAAGCCAAGACTAATATCAACTAATAAAATAATAAATACCCACACCAACCAGTTTAATACTCGACCACATACGACTAATCCTAAACCGTAAAACGTAAAACACTAAACCCTAAATCCTAATCACCAAACCATAAAATCTAAACCATAAATTGGTGTAATATGATTGACTAAGTTCGTGATACTAGAAATCATATTTGATGAATGTGATGGTAGATGCTTAAATAAACAAAGAATCACACGGGAATACCTAAACCATAAATTGGTGTAATATGATTGACTAAGTTCGTGATACTAGAAACCATACTTGATGAATGTGATGGTAGATGCTTAAATAAACAAAGAATCCCATTGAAATAGTTACCAAAAGATAATATCCACTAGTGAAAAATAAAATCTTCATTGCAATCAAAATAATATCCTTACCACCCAGACTAATATCATTCCATTAAAACCAAATATTCGTATTTGCCCAGACTAATATCCGACTGCATAAACTACTATCATACACAAACTAACATCCGTCTTCGCAACAACTAACCATAAACTCTAAATCATGAACCCTAAGCCTTAAACCCCAAACGCTAAACCCTTAAATTTAAACCTTATGATAATATACACGATTCATAAAAAAAGATAATATCCATTTCATATAAAAAAAATATCCAAACATTATGAACTAATATCATTTAAGCCAAGTCTAATATCAGCTAATAAAACAACAAATACGCATACCGCCCCTAAACCATAAACTAAATCCTAAATCATAATCACGGTTTCATGGGTCTTCGGCCCATGGGCCCTCGACGAGCAGCTCTAACTGAGGTTGCAAGCCTTATGTGTGAGGATTTTATAGTGTGTTTATTTGTCTCGGCTGGTTACGAGTTATCTCAGCGGCTCTCTCGTGCGGCTCAGGTTTGTGAGAAAAAGCCAATATTGGCTCGCTTAAATATATGCTTACAAAAAAAGAGAAAAAAGAAACAAAAGTAAAAAAAAAAGAGAAGTTAAGTTGAGAAAAAAAGTGGTTGGGAATTAATTGTCTATCACCTCTTCTTTTTTGATACAATATGGGATTTCTTTCCCCAAAAAATATAAATCCTGCCCAAAATACAAGGGGGCCACGAAGCCACTGTTTTAGCTCTTCTTCCTATGCTCGGTTAGCCAATTCTCACGGGTTGGACCAAAAAACAACTCATTTAAGTCAGCTGAACACAAATCAGCCTTCTCCTTCCTTGAATCATATATGGGACCACGTGGTCATCATCTTGGCCTCGTTAGTATCTACTAACAAAACCATCTGTTAGCATTTTAACTTTTTCGGGAATTAGATGGGTATGATTTTTTTTGTCAAATAGATGACTAGGGTTTATTTTGAAAGGAATTTGGATTATTTTATTATTCCAAATAAATTTACATCATGCCAGCTGATAATCGGCTTTAATATATCGGATTCTTGAGCTTTATGTGATTATCTCATGGTATGTTTAAGCCGATTGGTGCTATTTTGGGGAGAATTAATCTGTAATGGTTGAAAAGCCATTACCATTTTGTGTTGGAGTTTTGGTGTGTGTCTAGGTGATAAAATGGCAGAACTGGAACTTTCGAAGCAGGAGATAGCGGGAGGAATTGGATCCATATTTCTTCTACAACAAATCATTTGGCTACAGCCCAATTGATGGACTTAAAGCCCAGCTAGCTAGACTAATTGGCGGCCCGGTTGATTCCCTTTTGGAGAGGAAGCGGCCAGGAGGGAGGAATTATTGTGGGCCAGAGATTTTGGATTTGGGCTCTGGGACGGAAATTGAAAGGGCTGGGCCATTGTTTTGGGAAGAATGGGACACAAAAACTCTCTGGGGGAAAGGAATTAAAAAAAAAGAGGAAGCAGCGTGGGGAATGAATTAGTGGGCTGGCAATTATTTGAGGAGAGGCAATAATTGGACCGGAGGGGATTCTTGGAAGAGGGGGATTTAATTGGACACACGGATAAAAAGGAGAAGAATTGGACCGGGCGAGGATCTCTGAAAGAAAAGAAAAAAGGGAGCAGAGCGCAGCGCAAGAAGCTTGGACACGCGAACATCGAGCGGCGATTAGCAATCGACGATCGAGTTTTTCCTAGGCGGCTTGAGCTGAGTTCAACGAGAGCGATTAGTTGGTTGGATTTTCTGAACCGAACTAGTTGTTTATTGTTGATTTAGAACATGATGATCAAAACCCTAATGTTTTATCTTAATTTCGTCATGAACTAAACCCCAATTTCTGGGGGAAACATCATAGGATGTAGCTAGTTCTTGATTTGATGGATTGATTCATGATTCTTTTCTTCCATTCTCTATTGCATGAAATTTCTTAATGCTTTGTGTTGACTGGCCACCAATACAATGAATCGTAGTTAATTAGGTTATTAGCGACAGTGAAACCCTAATAACTGAACCTATTTCATGTGACATAGTAACTTATCGAAGCGACAGTGGATTAAATAAGGTACTATGCGGTCTTAATTGGGATATCGGTCTTCAGGCTAAATAGTTAATTCATTGAGCTACGACAGTAGGATTTGAATTAATTGTTTAGTACGTAGTAATTCCCGACAGGGATAGTTAGCACAGTAGTGATATCCTGGCTGTAGAGATATGGATTAAATTGATTGGAATATGTGAATTAATCTGGATAGGATAGGTAGTGAATCCCGGTGTTTCTCCCAGAGCTTTCTCCCATTGAATTTCTCCCGACCATTTTAATTTGCTTGTTTAGTTGATTTTGCTAGTAGTTAATAATCTCATCAACCAAACCATTTTTCACCTATAGTTTGCTCTATTAAATCGGTAAATCTTAAGGTTGTACCAGTCCCTGAGAGACGATACCCGGACTTTACGGTTTTACTACAAGATAGGATTAAGGCATACGCTTTTGCCCTATCAAGTTTTTGGCGCCGTTGCCGGGGACTGCCATACCTTATTTTTGTTGATTTTTGTGAGTGAACTTTTTTTGATCTGGGTGTTAGTGTGCAGGTGAATTTTTCAGGTTTATCCTCCTTGTGCATGCCAAGGAGGACGACTGGCAATTTACTGCCACTTGATCCAGAGATAGAGAGGACCTGCCGACAGAACAGGAAGCAGGTCAAGTTAGGGAAGCAGCCTACCACATCCACAACTCCTAGGCCTTCCCTAACCCAGAATCGTCAACCGAGAAGGCAGGTTTCACCACCTGTCATCCCGACACCACCGACACCGCCACCGCGCATCATCGAGCCGGACATCATGGCAGAACAGGATCGTTCGATCAGGGCTCGTTTGAATCGGAGGACTGGAGCCCGAGCTTCATGTGTGGTCATTCCAGCTGGGGATGCAAACATGGAGATTACCCCAGCCTTCATCAATATGATCACTAATGGGTACACCTTCTCCGGGGCCAGCACTGAGGATCCTCATGAACATCTTTGCCGGTTTGCAAGCATTTGTGACACAATGAAGAGCCCGGCTGTGTCTGATGATGCCATCCGTCTTCGGATGTTCTCATTTTCTCTGCTAGGGAACGCATCACACTGGTTCCAGAACTTGACACCCCGTTCCATCACAACATGGGGTCAGCTTGAGAAGACCTTTTTGGATAAGTACTTTCCTCCTGCCAAGGCAATGAAGAGGCAAGAGGAAATTGTCACTTTTAAACAAGCTGAGGATGAAAGTTTGACAGAGGCATGGGAGCGCTATAAGGAGCTTCTAATGAGATGCCCGAGCCACGATCTTGAAGATTGGAACGTGATCTCCATTTTCTTCAACGGAATCAGAAGACAATACCGAGATGCTTTGAATAATGCTTCCCGGAATGGTTTCACAAGAATGGAGGCACCAGAAGCATATGAACTGGTGGAGAAGATATGCTCTGAAGATACTGAATGGGGAAGTGAGACCGGCATTCGAAGGAGAGGAGGCTTGCATGAGATAGACAGAGTTGCAAGTTTGGAAGCAAAGATTGATGCTAAGCTGGATTCCAAGTTCGATGCACTCGAACGAAGGCTGGCTAAGTTGGCTCTTGGTAGACAGGAGGAGGTTTCTTATTGCGAATTATGTGAAGGTGCTCATCATAGGGATCTATGTCCACTGGTGGCTGATCAGATGGAAGATGTGCACTATATCAACAATCAGAGAAATCAGGGCCAGGGAGGTATGTACTCAAATACCTACAACCCACAATGGAGGAAGCATCCTAACTTTTCCTGGGCGAACAACAACCCAACTGGTGCTCGCAACATTCCACCTCCAGGCCTGCAGAAACAACAACCTCCACCTCAACCAGAAAAGAAACCACAACTTGAAGAATTGCTTCTGGCTCACATGCAGAAAACCGACAATAATCTGAAGGGCCTGGATCAATTTGTCACTCAACAGCTAGCCATCAACAATAATTTACAATCTTCTATGCTAGCTATGGAGAGGCAGATGGGACAAATGGCTCAAACTCTGGCGGATATGCAGGGCAGGATTCCTGGGACATTACCGGCTAATACCGAGAGGAATCCAAAAGATGCTAAAGTTGTGGCAGTGACATTGAGGAGTGGAAAGGCCTTGGAAGACCCTAGCATCTCGAAAAAGGCACCAGAGGCAGAAGAGGAAGCACCGGGAGAAAGATCTGGTGCAGAAAATGAAGAATCAGCCTTGCACAGGCAAA